TTAAAATTTTTCTGGGAATGCAATGGATATTGATTTCTAAATTGAAATTTAATTTTTAAAAAATTGAATAATATCACAGATTTAGGGCCCAGAATGGTAGCCTAATGGCTAAAGTCTTCACCTTGCATGCTCCAAGATCCCATATGGTGCTGGTCATATCCTGACTGCTCTACTTCCCTTCCAGCTCCCTGCCTGGGAAAGCAGTGGAGGACAACCCAAAGCCTTGGGACCCTGTACCCACATGGGAGACCTGGAAGAGGCTACTGGCTTCTGGCTTTGGATGGGCTCAACTCTGGTCATTGTGGCCACTTGGGAAGTAAACTAGAAGATGGAAGATCTTTCTCTCTATCCTTCCTTCTCTCTGTAAATCTGACTTCCCAATAAAATAAATAAATCTTTTTTTAAAAATCACAGATTTAGTTTTTCCATCTCTTTGCTATACTTAGGTGTAGTAGTGAATGGCTACCAATTTAGGGCAGAGCAGGTTTATCTTGTAGGGCTAAATGACTATGTGCACCTACCCTTCCTCTCTGAGCTGCCTATTTCATCTGATAGAAATCAAACTGAAACCTTCCACAGTGACCTGGATGGACAAAGGGTGTCCCCACAGAGCTATCTGCAGTGAAAAGCAAGTGTGGACAAGGCCACATGATGACAGGTCTATACATCCAGCCACCTACTGCCTACACCTCTCAACTGCCCATTGTAGCTTTGGGACCTCATATACCAAGCTGGGAGAGCACCCTAAGGTTCCATGCCCTTGATTGACATGTCCCAGGGTGCCTGTTTTACATTACATTTCCAAGGGACATAGTGTGAGCCATTCAGCTCAGCTAAAACGCCAGCTCCTTTGCAAGTATGATGTGTGGGTGTCTGGTGGGGCTCCTTGGTAACTTCCAGGCAGGTTGAGTAAGCAAACCCAAGGTTGTGGAGGACCTTGTCCGAGAAGAAACACACAAAAGCTGGCAGCAGAGAGAAACAGGAACTCAGAGGCTGTGATGATAAAGCAACGCTAAAGGTGAACAAAAAGGATGTTGACTTTTCAAACTTAGAGGGGCCCATGAAACATAAAATGATTTGTTGGAGAAAGGTGGGACCCACTGGGAAAGAACCTTAGAACCAGGGGGTTAAACTGAGGAACCAGAGTGCCACAGGTTAAATGTAAGCATGCTTGATTCTTAAATGAAAGGTTACTGGACACTATAGTCTTCTACAGAAGCCACACATTTTTATTGTTCTTAATGCTAGCTGAATGCATACAACACTGCCATTCACACATGCTCACAGAAACAGAGACAGGGCAAAGAATGGGTCGTTAGGAAAAGGACAGCAACCAAGCCTTTGAAACTATTGATAATTAATAAGCCAGGCAGTGGCTATTAATATGTGTGGAGATGGGGCGCCTACTGTTCTCTGAGCCATAGCTCATTTAAAATACTCACCCTGTAATTTATGAGTGATATTTAATACCTCGGTGACCATAAACCTCAATGTTTTATTACCCCTGCTTAGCATATCTTTGATGTGCTGCCCAGCACTACACAATCCAAAACAAATTACTTTCAGGAAGCTGGATATTATATAAATGCAGGAAAGTCATAAATAATGCACAGGAGGACCATTTTCTGTGAGTTCTGACATGCCACAATGGGGCTCTGTGAGCCGGACTTCTCGGCTGTGTCCCTGGGCCTGTGTGGGGTGGGCGGCAGGGCGGACCCCCTGGGAGCTGTTGTCAGACAGGGTGGGAACGTGGGCTTCCAGGCCCGGGCTGACTCTGTCTTTAAAACCTGTAGCAGAGACCGATGTAAATCACTGGAGGACCCTTTAGGAAGCTCAGAGCCTAATGAGCTACAGATGTGTCAGGAACAGAGCTTTCATTCCTGCTTCCTGGTGGGCTTGACACGAAACCTCTCCCCTGCGTTTGCAGGGGCACACGTTGACTTCCTTGTCCATTGGTAGCAGCAGCTGTTCCAAACTCCGCAGGCTCTTCGAGAGCCTGAACTCCCACACTTGCTTGTCTCTGAAGATAACTGCTTCAACAAAGACTCCTCCAGCTTCCTACCTCAATGTACTTGGTGATTTCCACCCTTCTCCCTACCCACCCTATCTTGCCAACATTGCTTTCATCTTGAATAGGGCAATCCTTCTCAAAGTTGAAGCACCATGTTCTCTTCTTTGTTCTTTAAGATTTGTTTACTTATTTGAAATGTAGAGATTCAGGAAGTTTCTCAAATGCCTGTAAACAGGCAGGTTGGGTAGGCCAACACAAGTAGCCCCAAACTCCAGATCTCTCCCGTGGGTGGCAGGAACCCAAACAGTTGGCCCATTATCTGCCTCTTGGGTGTATTAGCAGGAAGCTGGGCTGGAAGCAGGGACCCAGGACTTAAACTGGCATGCCAATATGAAATCCGGGCATCCCAAGTGATGGCTTCACCTGCTGCAAAATGCCCCACATGTTTGCTTCTGATCAAACTCCCCTCCCCTCTCCTTCAGCACCATTGTCCCTCTCAAAAAAAGACAGTAAGAGTCTTGAAACTTGAAATATGTTCTGGAGTAAAATCACTACAGAAATAATGTAATTCAATACAATGCAATATATGGAACCTGTTTGAAAGATGCCTTGAAACAATCAGCTATGTTTGGGTTCAGTGCAGGAAATTTGAACATAGGACTTAGATACTCTTAGACAATGCAATGAGACTGATGTTGCTGTGTGGCAGGTTAAGCTTGTGATGTTAGCATTTCATATGAGTGCTGGTTACTGTATCAGTTGCTCTACTTCCAATCTAGCATCCTGTTTATGTCTTATGGAAAACAGCAGAAGATGGCCCAAGTGTCTGGACTGCCACCACCCACATGGGTGATCTGGATGGAACTTGTGGCTCCTGGCTCCCAACTGGGTCAACTTTGGCCTTTGCAGTCATTCAGGGAATCAACCAGGAGATGGGACCTCTCCCTCTTCCTCTCTCTCTGTAACTCTGACTTTTAAACAAAACAGTCTTATTAGAAACATGTTAATTGTACTGTGTTTTTCTGAAGGAGGATGTCTATTCTTGGGAGATATATGCTAAAATACTTACAGATACGTCTTCATGACTCCTATTACTTAGCTTGAATATTTCTGCAAACATTCACACTGGAATGTCAAAACTTTTGTGAAAATGGAGTTAGAAAGAGGCTTATCTTAGTATAACAACATTTTTTAAAGACTTATTCATTTGACAGAATGACAAATAGAGAAGAGATAGAAAAAGTGTTCCAATCACTGGCTCACTTCCCAAATAGCTGAAATATCTGGCAGACTCTTTTTAAAAAATTTTTTTCTAAATTATTATATTTTTGACAAACTTTACATAGTTAATTGCAGTTAAAAGGTTCAAGGGCTATAGGAAAGTAGGTAAGACTATTATTTCCATTTTGTTTCCTTCATGTTTAAAGGGGGGTATTAAGGGAGAAGGACCACCCAATTTCCCACCCTCCCCAGGTCCTGCATGTAGGGTATGCTCCAAGGTTCTTGCTCAAGTGGTTTTGATGGTTCACCAGTTATGAATCGCAGCCAATCTTGCCACTCCAAGCACTATGAGGTCTTTGAAGAATCCACTGATTGACACAGTCCATCATAGAGTCTCTGTTTGCCCTGTATTACACTGCCAACATATAGCTGAGATGGTTGATTGACCTGTTCTGTCTTCTCTCTTTTCCTGGTTAGGGTTCTGAGTCCAGCATTACGATTGGGGAAATCTCCAAAGAAACTTTGTCTGAGGTGTTCTTGGATCAGATTCTTGTATGTACTAGTAGGCACAGGGCCTGGCTCAGTCCATGGCCCTGATCAGCTGGTGGTTGCGATGGCTGGGTGGATTCTGTTTTCAGCCTCGACTTCCACTGGAACCAATGGGTGTTTCATTCCAGCCTGGTTCTGCCCAGCACATTTTTGGCCCTCACATAAACCAGTGGGAGCTGCAGCCTAGTTGGAGTGACCCACAATAACCCCTACCAAGCCTGTACCCTACCCTGGTTTGCCAGATGTGTAGCAGTAGTCCAGCCTGTCCCACACCCCATTCCACCCCAGCCCCTGTCCTGGTTTTCGTGCCCTCCCGTAGAAGTGGTAACCCAAGAAGGATGAGCCCACTATTTCCCTCCCAGGCCTCTCTCACTCCTGGATTATGCACTCTCCAGGTAGTTCTGTGATTGGACTTGACAAACTTGACTGACAGTGCCAGCCTCTGAACTGGCAGACTCTTGAAGAGGTGCTCCAATGCAGGATGCTAGCTTATCCCTTTGTGCCACAATCTCTGCCCTCTGCCCAAAACTGAAATTCACGCATACCATGTATGTATGTATGTGCATAACCAAATATAGGAAATTATTCATAATTTCAAAATGTAGGTAATAGAGTGTTCAATAAGCTTACATTCAACATTCTTACATATTTTAACATAATAACCAGAGAAAGATTAGCCAAATATGTTAATTTTTTGATGATTTACATGTTTATTTGAAAGTCAAAGGGAGACACACAGTGAGATCTTCCATCTTCTGGGTCACTCCCTAGATGGCCACAATGGCCAGGTTTGAGTCCGGTCAAAGCCAGGAGCAAGAAACTTCACCCAGGTCACCCATGTGTGTGCTGGGGCCCAAACATATGGGCTACCCTGTGCTGCTTTCCCAGCAATTGGCAGAGAGCTGGATCAGAAGTTGGGCTGCCAAAACTGGAATCAGAAACCAGATGGGATGTTAGTATTCCAGGCAGTGGCTTTACTCACTGTACTGTAACACTGCCCGCCTAAAAATGTAAGTTTAAATTAAGAGCTTTTCTTCAACCTTTCATCTTTTGTTTGGCATTCATTGTTGAGCAAGCAGATGAAGCTGAGAATCCAGGCTCATCTCTAACATCTCCCTTCCTCCTCAGAGCTCCTGTGTCCTTCAGTCCTGTCAACTGGCCTCAGTTCCTCTGCCCCCAGAATGTCCACCCCATGCTGCTGCTGCTCCGCCTTCCTGGGGTCTGTGTCCCAAGCAGTCTGGATCCCCACCGCAAGGCTTGGGGTCTCTAGCCCCAGGTCCATTCTTCTCATTCACTCTGCTGATGAAAACTTTTCTTAAGTTTCCACTGCCTGCAAAATAAAAGTAAGTTTCCCTAAATATAAATAAAAACATTGCAGGAGAATATTGAAACAGAATCTAGAAACAAGGACTGGAACAAGGCTACTGGACACGTCGGGCTTTCCATTCCAGGCTAGAAATCCCATCCTTAGCCTCCTTCGCGACTTCCTGTTTGTGCGTAGCTGGCAAAGACCATGGGTCCGAGAGAAAGTGCAGCTCACCTTGGGGAACCTTCAGTTGTCGGCCAGGAAAGGGAGTCCATATATGGACCAGTAAAGTAGTGTTCTAGACTGGTAAGACCTGTAAAAAAGAGTGAGTCTCCTGAAGATCACAGCCATGACTTCAGCAGCTCAATGAAAGACTTCCTTTATCGACTTGGGTAAGTGGCTTGTTAGACTCTGTCAGAGAAGCTGAGGGAAGCAAGGGCTCCCAGACATCCTTAGTGTTGGGTGGAAATTGACGACAGTCTCTTGGGAGAGCAGTTCAGCACATCTAAATGAGTACACCCTGAGATACAGGGAATGTCAATTTTGCCATTTCAGTCATTGAAGTGGTTTTGCAGTAAGTGCAGTGAAGTGGTGTTGAAATAAGTTAAATATCTATTTTTAGGGATGATTAGGTAAGTTATGGTACATAAACCTATAGACATACTGCTAGTTGATATAAGAATGAAGAACAACTCTGTATATACTTCTTTACAAAGTAGGTCACAAAGTGAAGAAAGCAAGAGATAGCACAGTCAATACAGTAATTCAAACTTGATGTTTAAATGCAAGAAAATCCCAGAGGAAATTCCTGGCTCCTGGCTTGGCATTGGCTCAACTCCAACTGTTGGCAGCCCTTTGGGGAGTGAATCAGCAGATGGAAGATCTTTGTCTCTCATTCTCTCCATAAACCTGTCTTTCAATAAAAATAAGTTTTCAAAACATGAGAAAATAAGAGAATATATGCTAAAGAATGAAAAATTCAAAATGATGCAATGATATGAAGTGTAGAAACTACTCACTATGTTGCAGGTTAGGAAAACACAGTGAGGACATTGGGGTTCTGAGACCACAGAAGCGTCTAAAGACATTCCTGTTGCTGGGATGCCGATCTTGGAAAGTTGCTACCTGGTGGTGTTGGTGTTTCTGACAGGAGTGGTGGAATGCTGAGCCTCGAGTGCAGGGACTAATACAAGTTGGGGACTAACTGTGCCACCACACTCCCTTCCACCTGCCTTCCAATTTTCTACTGATATTTTCTTACAGCAGAATTTTACAACCAGCTGACAAAAGAAATAGAGTTTTCTAAGTTCCACAGCCAAGTATAGAATGATGAGTTTGAAGCTGAGAGGGATAGCTTAAAAGCCAACACACTAGATTCAACAAAGGATGGCCAGTTTTGGCCCAACATCATCCTTGTGCATGTTGGAATTGGTGCATTTGTAGGTGACAATGGACTTCCCATTCAAGCACCAAAGCTTCTCCCTTTCACCACATTCTGGGACTGTTAGCAATGATACAAAGTGTGAGAGGTTCAGATTCATGCCTGTGAAGCTGACAACATCTTTATTTTTTATCTACCTTTCACATGAACCTTTGTCCGTATTAATTTTATTTCACTACCATCATTTGTGGTGAGTCATGCAGTCATGGCTGCCATTTTGTGACTGGGCCAGGAAATGGGTAGGGCTGCTCCTTAATGCTGAAGTGTCTATACTTGAGGAGGCTGAGATTTCAAATGCCCCCACTCTCCAGCTTTCCTCCAGCTTTCCTTTTCCAGACTCTTCAGGAGTCTGGTTCTGAAAGATGGCTTTAGCTTGGCAGCCAAATGAACTTTACAACAGGAAAGACAACAGTTCACACCATCTTCTTGAGTCAACAGCTGTGGCTGAGAGCAAATAAAAACATAGCCCTGTGGTGTGATCCCAGAGGAAACACTTAGGGGGTGGGTTTCACGTGTTTTCCCAAAAGGCAGAATTTGCCCATCGTGAGTTCTTAAAACATGCCTGTTCCTCCTGCCTGAGCCCTGCCACCACCTCCTTGTGCCTCACTATTTCCTGTGTAGGTCAGAAAACGTTCCTGTCCCCCAACTCACACAGCTCTCCCAACTCTTGATGATTGAAGGGAGAGCTGATTTAAGTGCTTCTTCCCCTCTCTAAGGCCCTTTTCCAAAAAGAAAAGTTTTAACAACCAAAGATAAACTTATTTGTACCCTAGCCATGATGTCAAATGATAGTGAGCAGCTCTTAGCTGAATTCTCTGTACAGAATAGAAATATCTTTGAAAAATAAATAATTGCAAAGTCACCAAGCAACCTTTGCCCTCCAAGTGGCTCAGCTGAATACACAATTGCGCCCTCTTTAAATCGTGGTGGGCCTGGCATGATGGCTCAATTGGCTAGTCCTCCCCCACTGGGAAAGCAGTGGAGGATGGCGCAAAACCTTGGGACCTTGCACTTGCATGGGAGACTCAGAAAAAACTCCTAGCTCCTGGCTTTGACCTGGCTCAGCAGTGGCCACTGCGGCCTTTTGGGGAGTGAACTAACAAATTGAATCTCTCTTTCTTTTCCTCTCTCTGTAACTCTTTCAAATAAATAAATGAAATGATTTTAAAAATAAATTTCATCATAAGAAAATCCAAACTTATAATTACATTAACTTCCAAAATAGCCACATAAACAGCTGATTATTTGTGTTATAAAAGGAACTCTTCAAAATAACCCTAAACATTTCTTTCTGTTGTTTCTCTGACAGAAATTACTTTCGAAAAATTTCATTTACATCCAAATTGTTAGGAAAAAAAATCTATTTGGGGTTGGTTGCTTGGTTACAGAGATTAAAAGGCAAGTTAAGATTCCCATTTCTCATATCAGGTTTTTCTCCTGGCGCTGCCCCTAGTTTCACTTTCTATTACTGTTATACCCTGGGAGACAGAGCGCATGGCCCAAGTATAGCCATGAGGGAGGCCCCTACCGAATTTCAGGCACCTAGATGTTTTTCCAGCCCAGCCTGGACTGTTGGCAGGCATTTGAAGAGTGAACTAGCTGATCAGAAGTTTCAGTCTTTCTGCCTGTGTCTCTGCCAAAGAAAGGAAGGGAGGAAGGCAGGCAGGAAAGAATGAAAGAAGGAAGATGATGGTGTAAAGCAAAGGGCCCTGTGCTCTGCATAAGCAGCTTATTTGACTGGTGAGTGCTGTACCTGAATATCTGCACACGGAGGCCTTGCTCTGGATCTCACATTTTGCCTTTCACTTGCTCAGCTCGCCATGGAGGCCATTACCAACTTGAGAAATGGCTGGATGCTCTGCAGGTAAACTCTTCAAGCCTCTTTTCAATGATCTACCATCCTTTGGTGTTCTCTCCTTAATCTTGACTTTCTTGGGAATTTGCTGAATGAAAAAATCAGACTCTTTTTTGATTACTTGGAGTAACTTTGAATAATTCCACTTACACCTAGTATGTTCAAGGTCAATGGGATTTTTTGTTTTCATTTTCAAGTCCAATGTGACTTTGAATAAGAACTAAATGCATTTGAATTTATAAAAGACTGGAATTGCCTTTTAAAAATCTTATTTATATTCCTACTGTCTCCTTTACTCATAATATTTTTATATAAAAAAAATGTGTGTTGATATGTTTCTGCCCCCTTCTCTGACTTTTATCCAAACCCACAAACCTCAACACTGTATTAAAAATCTAGCAACATTAGATAGTCCTGATAGATTTTCTAAAGAGTTCTGCTTCCATCTAGGCTAGAAATGCCATCAAGAAAAAATGGTTTTGTATGAAAGGGTTTGTTTTGCTAGTCCTAAATCACCCTCTACTGAGATTAAGATTGGAAAACGTAGAGTCTAAAGTATTACCTAACTAGATTAGGCTTTCAAAAATTGGAAAGGGGCTTGGATTGGGTTAAAGTCTTGGGCTATCCTTTATTTTACTTGAAACAGTTCTTTCCTGAACCAGTAATGAATTTTCCCAGTACATGTAGGTGTTTCATGCCGGTGTCTGTTTATGTGAAACAGCTGGGAGGCCAGGCAGAGCCCGTGGGACAACCAGCCTCCTCTGATTCCCGGGGAAAGCTCAGCACGTGCTCACGTGCCTCTGCACTGCTGTCTGCTTATGACAGGGGAGAGATCAACACCTCTTTCAAGGGGGCTTAAGGTAATCTTTCCTACAAGTACAATCCCCTTATTTGTTTCTCTGCTCCTTGGGTGTGTATATGTATGTGTGACTCTATGTGTGTATATATACAAACGCACCTAGCTATTTCACAGAAGTTTGCTTTCCTGGGAGGTCCTGTTGAAAGGAGTCCTGTTATTATTATTAATCTGTAAGTGGAGAGCTGATCATTTAGAAGCAAGAAACTCTATCTTTTAAACAGCTGAATGGCCCTGTTCACATTTGAGGCGGCTGTTAGACCACCCAAAAGCAACCCTGTCATGTGAATACATTTTGAATACGAATGTAGAGTCAATGCTAGCTTACCCATGATTGGAACTAAGCACAATATACAAGACCCAGGTTCAGAAAAAAATGCATGGACGCTTTTGAGAAGACTGCTCTGGTGACATTCAAAATCAGACAAAGATGTCAGATGCAGCTCCTACATGGACAGTTATATATTCTGCTTCACTCCAGTCAGATCTCTCTAGAAACTGTTAGAGACATTCCCAATTGGGAGACTCCCATCTAGGACTGGGCACCCTAGACACAGAGTTATAATTCCATTCCTCACTTTGGGTAAGAGTGTGGACTGCCCAAATGTTCCAGCCTTCGCTTGTTTTCTTCTTCCTTCCTACCTCTCCTCCCTCCTTCCTTTCAGATTTATTTGAAAAGCAGAATTACAGGGTGTGGTGGGGAGGTCTTCCATGCTCTGGTTCACTTCCCAGTTAGCCAGAACAGCTGAGACTAGGCCAGGTGGAAGGCAAGAACTGGGATCTTCATCTCGGTTTCCTACATGGGTGTGGGAGCCCAAACACTTGGCTGTCCTCCACTTCCTTCCCCGGTGATTTTCAAGGAGCAGGGTGAGAATTGAATCAGTAAGGAATTGAACTTGCACTTGCATGAAAAGCTGGCATCCCAGGCAGTAACCTTACCCACTATGCCACAATGTCGGCTCCTGTTTTAACTTTCTATTTAAGAATTTTTTATTGTTCCCAAAAGAAGCTCATGAGATCGAAGTTAAAATTAAGCCAAATGCTTTTGGTGAACAGATTCCCATAGCAGAATGAAAGTGACTGTCTTCATCAATTTCCCCTTCTGTATATTAATCTCCCCCAAGTATCTATTTTTTACTTTGCCTAAGAGTCATCAGCTGCAATGTGGAGACTATATTCTGATAGTTGTCAAGTATCAGAGCTGCATCTTTGTCTATCATAGGAGAAACTCTGAAAATTGTAGGGTCAGGCTTTCACTAATAGAGATCATTTTCCCATAGTAATATTCCTCTGTCACAGCATAACTAATGATTATTTGTGATGACCAGAGCCACAAAACTTGGTATTGGAGTAGGTTTTAACTGGATATTTTACCTGTGTGATTCGCAAAGCAACAAATCCCAAATCTCTCCCAGATACTTAGAACCAAATTAAATCTGAAGGACAATAGTGAACGTAATGCCATGATTTTAATAGCAGGTGTGTATGCGAAATCAAAGAATTAAGACAGAAAACCATCAAAACAAGAAAACAAAGCTGTGTTTCATCATCTTTTCTGTGTCCCGTGCTTTTGTCCTCTCTCTAGGAGCCTCCTCCCTCTTTTTTTTTTTTTATTCAGAATCTTCTTGGGCTGAGATTCAGCAGGGAGGGACCCTGCGTGTCTCCTCACCACCAGTGGTCACGTTGGTTCTTCTGAATCTGGGCAGGTAGGTAGAACGTGCCTAAGTAAGTGCCACAGGCAGCTCCCAGGGCTCTGCAGGGTATGAGAGCTGGCGTATTTGTCTTGGCCTGTTTTAGGGTCACACAGACAGCCTTTCTCGATGGGTATCTACCATTCCTATGTTAAGAAACAGATAGTGTCTTTATTTCCCTAGAGAAGACTCTATCCCTCTGGTTTTTAATTGATTTTGTTGTTCTTGGATGTGATATAGCACATAATCCTTTCATCTTTTTTTTTTCTTTTTAAAGAGTTAAGCATTTGTTTTAAAGGCAGAGGTGCAGAGAGATAGAAAAAGAAATATCTTTCATCTTCCATCCTCTGGTTCATTCTGCCAAGGCCAAAACTGGGGCTCTGGCAGGCCAAAGCCAGGAGCCAAGAACTCCATCCAAATTTCCTACATGGAGAGCAGGGGCCTGAGCATTTGGGATCATCTGCTGCTGCTTTTCCAGTCACATTTGTAGGGAGCTGGATTGGAAGTGTGGTAGCTGGGGCTTGAACCATACGCCATATGGGATGCCTGAATCATAGACTGTGGTTTATCCTGTGAAGTGCCAGCCACACACACCCTCCCCATCTTTAATTCTTTTATTGAACAAATGCTTTTAGTACTGGAAATATCATTGAGCTGAAAAAGTTCATGCCAGCAAGGACTGACTTGATGCCATTTTTGTGTGTTGTGAAGAGCTTGTTTTAAATCAAGAACCTCAATGCAACACTTTTTGTCAGTGGCTGTTCCAAAGGGCAAAGGAAAACACATGGTGCTAGATTGTGGAGTTATCATCTAGCCCTCCAGGCAGTCTAAAAAGATGTCCCATTTTAAGGGGCAACTTCATATTTGGAGACTCTTAAGAATGCAGATGATTGAATGTCCCCATATGGGAGACAAGGGACTGGATATAATGAGAATCTGGTAAAAACTGGGTACAATATCTTCTGAATGGATTCAAATTTTTATAGCAAACCCTTCTGTGTAAATTTTCATGACTTCTTCATGGTAATTAATTTCATGGAATATTGCCAAATGGCATATTTTTCCTACTCCAAGCCTCTCTCTAAGCACTCCTGGGAATGTCTGAAATATGAGATAAGCACTCTTACCCAAAGTTTTTATTAAAAAGTTTAATTAACACAAATGCCAAATGACATATTCATTGCCATTAAGTAGGTAGAGTAGATGTGAATCGGAGAACGCTGAGTGACTCTAAAACCCATTTCCCTTGGCCAGTCCGGAAGCTTTGTTTTTCTTCCCGGGCTGGCAAGGGAGCCCTCAGGCCTCCACTGCACACATAAAGCTTGGTGAGGGCCGTGAAACCCACTCAACTTGTTTTCCGTCAAACCCTCTTTCCCCTTCTCTGCTCCCAGCTCTGCTGTGCTGGGTCCCAGGCATTTGAGCTTCACACATTGCCTTTCAGGAAGTCACAGACCATATAGGAGCTGTGGCTTGTTTAACCTTCTCTGTACCTAACAAAAATGCTTACCAAACAGTCACCGAAACTCCTAGAGCATGGAGAATTCCTCAGCTGACTCCTTGCAGCATGATCCTCCACTAGGACTTGGGGTCTCCAAGTGCAGGGAGTATGTGTCCTTGTACCTTTGTGTCCTCAGCCCCAAACACAGTACCTGGAACAGAGCAGGAAGAGAGCAATTTGCCAAACGAAGAAATGAAGTCAGTGTCTTGTGTCTCATCTTCCCTTTGCTGTATCTTCAAAATGTTAAAAAATGAGATAAATCTTAGAAATCGTCCTTGCCTATTTGGTCCTTGGAGCATCCTTATGTTCCTTCAGCACTCCATTCCTCTTTGGATGAGTCCTTATATTACAATGATGTTAAATAATGGTCTAGAAGAATTCTCTAGAATTTCAGGCTACAATAAAATGAATAGCAGAGTCTATTACACATGGCTGAATATTTCCACCATGTTCAGAAGTAAATGGTGATATACTTAGAGACACTAGAAGAGAGAAAAAGAGGAAATGAATGTGTACACTTAAGCCATAGTTAAGGGACCAGCAGGTGGTATAATGGTTAAATCATGGTTAGTCATGCTTGCATCTGCTATTGGAGTACCTGTTTTGAGTCCTAGTTACTCCACTTCTAATCCAGCTTTCTACGAATATGCACCCAAGTGCTTAGGTCCCTGCAATCCATGTGGGAGACCCAGACAGAGTTCCTGGCTCCTGGCTTTGGCCTGGCCTGGCTCTGGCTGTTCTGGCTGTTTCTGGCATTTGAGGAGTATATCAGTGAAAGACATCTCCCCACTCCTTCCCCACTTAGCTAAATTTTAAAAAATCTTTAAAAATCAACAGCAAAAGAAAGTGGCAAGAAGAGAGATCATAGTAATTCATTTCTTTCTATTGTAAAAGTGCTATGTGGCAGAGAGCAGCAGTATGCAGGTACATACGTTAGCCGTAAGGCTCTGGGCCCAGAAGGTTGTTCTACTGATCTGAACTGGACTTGGCTAAGGTTTCCTGGCCTCACCCATGTTGCTGTGGCCTGTTGGTCACCTGAACGCTGGCCATTTTCACATGGAGTGAACCTCTGAGGTGCTCAGCTCTGGGTGGGTCCCTGCTCTCAAGGGCACCTAGTCAAGACTTGATGACTTTTCAAAAATGTTAAGTAGGGCCAGCTTTGTGGTGTAGCAGGGCAAGTGTCTACCTGCAACACCAATATCCCATCTGGGTGCCAGTTTAGGACCCAGTTACTCCACTTCTGATCCAACTCTCTGTTAATGCACCTGGGAAAGCAGAGGAAGATGGTCTAAGTGTTTGGGCCCCTGAACCCACCCGGGAGATCAAAGCAGCTCTGGGTTCCTGTGTTCTGGCTCAGCCCCAACCATTGCAGCCATTTGGGGAGTAAACCAGCAGTTGGAAGGTCTCTATTCTCCTCCCCTCTCTGTTATTCTGCCTTTAAGCAAATAAAAAAAGTTTAAAACTATTTAATTTAAAATGTAAATAGATACATAAAAGTTTGTTACATTTATGGGATATAATGCAATGTTTTAGTACATGTATATGTTGTGTAATGTTCAATCAGGGTAAAATACATGTCTTCAAGCATTGAGCACCTCATTAAGGCAAATCCAAAGGCTAGTTTTGTTTTTAAGAGAAATACATATGCGGTTGGCGCCATAGCTTAGTGACTAAAGTCCTTGCATTGCTCACACTGGGATCCCATATGGACACCGGTTTGTAGCCCTGTTGCTCCACCTCCTATCCGCCTCCTGCTTGCGGCCTGGGAAAGCAGTTGAGGACAGGCCAAAGCCTTGGGACCCTGCACCTGTGTGGGAGACCCTGAAGAAGCTCCTGGCTCCTGAGTTCAGATCGGCTCAGCTCTGGCCATTGTGGTCACTTAGGGAGTGAACCAGTGGATGGAAGATATTTCTCTCTGTCTCTCCCTCTCTGCATGGGAGACCTGGAAGAAGCTCCTGGCTCCTGAGTTCAGATCGGCTCAGCTCTGGCCATTGTGGTCACTTAGGGAGTGAACCATTGGATGGAAGATCTTCCTCTTTGCCTCTCCTCATCTCTGTACTTCTGCCTTTCCAATAAAAATAAATAAATATTTTTTAAAAGTTATAAAGTTAATGAAATTGAAAACAAGAAATCAATAGGGAAAATCATTGAAGCCCAAAGCTGATTCTCTGAAAAGATGAATAAAATCAATAAGTCTCACAAAAGATTAACAAAGATTATTTAATATTTAGTCCAAAATCCATGTCCCTTGATACATACAAAATGGAGTTAAAACTTATGTCTTTATGCATGGTTAAAGACATAGGGTATTATGAAATTAGTATATATTTCACTTAACTTTTCTGTGATCCTAAAAGCATACTTCAAATAATAATTATAGTAACAACAATAATAACAGTAATAAAGATATTATTTATTGGAAAGGTAGATTTACAGAGGGAAGGAGAGACAGGGAAAAAGATCTTTCATCTCCTGGTTCACTCCTCAAGTGGCTGCTGAGCTGCTCCTCAATGGCCAGAGCTGAGTTGATCGAAAACCAGGATTCAGGAGCTTCTTCTGGGTCTCCCAAGCAGGTGCAAAGTCCTAGACTGCTTTCCCAGGACACAAGCAGGGGGTTGGATGGGAAGTGGAGCAGCTGGAACACAAATTGGTGCCTATATGGAATCCCAGTGCATGCAAAGTGAGAATTTTTTTAAAGATTAATTTATTTTTATTGGAAGGATAGATTTACACAGAGAAGGAGGGACAGAGAGGAAGATCTAGCATCCATTGATTCACTCCCCAAGTGGCTGCAATGGCCGGAGCTGAGCTGATCTGAGGCCAGGAGTCCAAAGCTTCTTCTGGATCTCCCACATGGGTGCAGGGTCCCCAGGCTTTGGGCCATCCGTGTCTGCTTTTCAAGGGCACAAGCAAGGGGCTGGATGGGAAGCAGGGCTGCCAGGATTAGAACCAGTGCCCATATGGGTTCCCGGTGTGTGGAAGGTGAGGACTTTAGCCACTAGGCTACTATGCCAGGGCTCCAAGGTGAGCATTTAATCACTAGACCATCATGCTGGGTGCAAGAAAGACTTACCTTAAAAAAGAAACAGTAATGTCTTGAAGAAGCTTTATGCATGAAGTGCTCCCCCATGCAACTTCTCCCCTCAGCACATCAACACTAACCAAATGCTTGCAAAAGAGAACTGCTCCCTCCTGTGTGCAAATACGGTTGGCTGTGCACAATCAGCAGCTTGGCCTTTCTGGAGGGGACCCAATGCTCTTGTTTGTCTTTCCTAGTGACCTTTCACAACTGCTAATGATTTCAAGCAAACATGATATTAAAACAGAATTTCCTTTAGCTTTGAAAGCTGAGTATCAGACGTCTCTCGTCTTTTTAAAGAAGAGAGCAGTTTCTGGATAGGAGGGCAGGAGCCAGGAAGGATATACACTGCTTGTGCAAAGAGCAGGGGACAGCTGCATCACTTGACCCTCAGACAGAATTCAACTTACTAACTCTGCTAACTACCCAGAGGCTTCATTTAACCCCATGAAGATAACTAGTGCTCTTGAAAGACACTGATTTGCTTCCCACTGGAGTTCTAGGAAAAAGCGTTTTCACAGCATCAAAACCTGTGAGACTTGACAAGATTAGGGAAGTCATTCTATAGCCTGTGGTCAAGTCCCCTTGGAAACCACCTGCCTCAGCTGAGAACTGTTCCCCGAAGAGCTGGTTCAGGATTACCCAAGGTCCTCAGGACAACCCCAAGAGAAAGCTTTTCCTTTGACCTAAAGAAATCTCCTCCTCTTTTTCTTCTAGGAATAGATTGTTTCTTTTTGTCCTGTTTCTGATAGAGTACCATAATCTCCATACCACCTACTACAGTTTTGAATAGTTTGTATTTTCTTAGCCTTCTGTTAACAGCATTTCATCTTACTGATCATTCCCTATAAGGATTTTAATGTAGCCCTTTCAAAATTGGCTTCAAATACTCCATAAACTTGCTTAGTTGTGAAATTCAGTTCTCTACTTCAAGGACACCTTGCATCCAGATGCATTTACAGGAAGCTCTTCTAGGGCTGATTTTGGGGTGGTGCTAAGAAAGTGATCATTCGCATTCTCTGTACGCACCCATTTAGTGCCCTCTGCACCTAAGCCCCACCATGAATAAAAACACCCTTGGCCAAGAAGGAAGCCTTTACGACACCCCATTCTAAGAAATGAGAAAATGTGCAGTGTTCTAGGAAGAGATGGTATTGGACTCTTACATTCATGCAGGCAGGCAGACCATGGGTATCAGGTCTTTTGTACTAAGTTTCTATTAGGAGTGGGTACACATACAGGGCCTTAGTAGAGAAAGGTGTGAACTTCAAATGATGTTTGTTGTCATTGTTTTTTTTCAAACAACACTAACATTGATTGGTCTTTACAAGAACTTGGCTTTGAAGAATAGGTCCCAGGGGCTTAGGACAAAACGTATATGGGATTGTTGAACATTGTTGTGGGAAGGACCACGCAGAATGGAAATAAAAAGGACAAAACACATGAGCAGTCAGAAGATGCTATGTGTGAGAGCAAGGAAAATCCCAGGTGTTAACCCTGCATGAAAATTAACTTGAAAGGATCCTAGTAAAAGTCCATTAAATTTCTGGGTGCAGACTTCAGGCAACAACTTAAAGTATGGAATCTTCTAGAAGCTGATGGATTTCAACACATATATCTTCCACAAATGTTCAGGTGTCTTCGAAACAGTGAGCCCACCTGCAAACACATGTGGTGGCAACCTGGTGGGATTGCTCGTTTCAAGCAGCATGTGTTTGTCATTCTCTAAGGCCCTTCTCAATCCCCAAAATGTTTCCTGTGTTTAAAGGATTTCCCATATTTTCCCAAATATTGAAAAAAAAGTGCTGTTTTCCAGAATCCTTGTAGTTGGGTACAATCTTACACAATTTGTGTTATGTCCATTGGTGAGATCTGCTTTCGAAGAAGGAAACTTTGAGAACAGGCGACATTTGATGAGGTTGAGGATGAAGGCATCTGTTGAGGATGGACACAGGTGTAACAGAGCTTCCAAAGTCCTAAGTGTGCCCTGCCTTGTCAGTCTTCTGATGGCAGCAGCAAGGGCGTCACAGAAGCAATGCCAAGGCACGTTTAGAGCATTACTCCCAGCTGCAACCTAGTCCTTCATAAATTAATTTTCTGCCTAGGCTGCAATGAGGAGTCCTGGTGTTTGCATCTGGAAAGATTGACTGACACAATGTTGCTTCAACAGTGGTATTCCACTGTGGACTTGCTTTGATTCCACTAAGGCTCCATGGACTTTTCATTCTGTTGAAATTCATACCAGGCTCTTCAGAAATCCTACAGCCATTTCCCCCTGGAGACCAACCCATGGGATCTGGGCATTGATGTGGTCCTTTTAAAAATTATAAATAATTCTCTCTGATAAATCACTTTCTGAGTTCTGAGGATTAATGCAACAGAGAAAGGACAAAAATAAATCCAAGTTTTGAATACTAAGTTGGATTGCCTGACCTAAATCCCACACTGGACTCCTGTAGGTCTCCTGTAATTGTGAGGGAGAGAGGATTTTGTGACCTTAGGGTGTGCGTGGGAAAGCTGCTGCCTCCAAACGTTCCACTAACACAGTGGTTTTTGACTTGGCTATGTACTGGAATCACCTTGCATATACAAAAACACCCTCAAC